GAAAAGCACTTATTTGGAGTTCATACCTGGAAACATTTCAGTTTTGCTTACTCCAGTAGCAGCATTAGTCAATCATTTCCATCACAGAGACATTTCAGGAAAGATCTATGTACCTAAGATAGTCATGACCAATAATTCATAAAGCAGTACAGTTAAAATAAGTTTCTTATAGTGTAGCTGTTAATAAACTGAGAATTAGTGAAGGGCAGGGCTTGAGAGGAGTTAATTTTTCTCTTGCTTGGTATCACTGAACATCTGGCAAAAGTTAGTATTACATATGGGAGGGAAGCAAGGGGCTTTGAGAACTGTATGTGCAGGAATAGGAATGCAGAATGAACAATAGAAATAGCAATTATCTCAAAGCTCTTGTGAATCACTGCAAATACCAGATATTATCACAGAATGCTTGTGTTGCAGAAAAAAATGTTTATGAACAGTGAAAGAAAGCAATTGACTCAGTTTCTTAAGAAGCACTGGAAATCCTTAGGAGGCTTTTAGAGGCTCTGTTACTAGAAGGACAAAAGTTTAACAGGACAATCTCCCAGAAAAAGAGGGGAAGCCCAGAAGGATTTTACAAGAAGATTGATACCTTGCCAACAGGCAATTGACTTAGACTAAGTGCTAAGCATAAGCTAGCACACTTTAAAAACAACCTAATAACTCTAAGTAGCAGAAGAGAGGGCGCATATGCACTTGGGTAACACTTTCTGAAGCCAAGAGACTTCAACGGGAAATGAGTGGTAAAACCCCTCTGCGTGCATGTATGCTTTTTGCAAGTACTTGACCTTGAGTACATGCACGCTTTAGCTCTTCTATTATTTATTGACTAAGCTGACTTGAGTCATGACTGTTAAAATGCAATAGTCATGTGTATAAAAGTTAATGAACTCAGAGGCTTGTCTCAACACTCAATTTAACTGTCGCGCCACAACAAGAAATTATGAAAAAGCACAGTATTTACAATTAAATTACATGTTATAACAAATCCACAGCCATTGACCATGCTTTAGCAGGTGTCAGCAATAACACTGCTTTTCAATATGTTGTTAGATAGCAGCATACCCATATTATTTACAATTGATTACCACTGAGGACCAGATAGCAGTGTCTTCAGTCACAAAATTTTTTCCCTCCTGTTCAGTTCTCAAGTCTTGGGTCCCCCTTTATCTTTCAGATCATACTTAATACTACAGCTCTTCACTATCACTCCAGCTCTTGGCAATATTACAAATAGTGCTTGTGAAATACAGAGGGTATTGACGTATTTCAAAAAAAAAGAAAAAAGTGACATCGCTGCTGAGCAGAAATCTCTATTTCCTTGATCTCTGCTTCCACCAAGTGGTCATTTTAAGTCTTCTATTCTTACCGTTTTTATTCTTGACTGTATTTCAGTGGCTAAGATCTAAATTCAGGATTCTGGAAATTTCACATTCCACTCCCATGCTTGACTCTGATTTGATGTGTGGTCCTGAGTGAACTGCTAACTTATCAGCGCATCTGTAAAAATGGAAGTGATCCTATTTGTGCAGCAAGGTGGCGTATTTTGAAATTAACTGAAGAATTTCCTATATAACTATGAGGCATTATTAAGTGTTGAATGCCCCAGCGCACCACACTAAAAGAAAAACTAAACATCTCTGTGCACTTACTTAACTACTCTATGTAAACAACTGCCTGTCTACTGTGGTGGTTAATTCTGTTTAAGCATATTATTTTCTTGGTCAAACCCTTGGGATTTATCTCTGTAGACCAGCGCTGCTGTCATGCATCTTAACCATTAGATGGTAGGAAGATGGTACTGGGATGGACTCATTGACAGAGTTCCCACAAACAGCCATAGTGCGTATTGTCAGGGCCCTGAGTGCATTGCCTCTTCACTACTCTTGGGATTTTGGCTGCCTGGGCTCAGGGCCAACTCTCACAGTGCATTTGTCTGAGCTTGAATCAAAGACCTGCAGAAAGCTTCAGTGGAGGCTTGCCCCCCCTTCTCTCAGAAGCTGCTGTAAAGCTGGGATCCTGCCCTTGGTCTCTACTTGAGCTGTCTTGCAGCTATGCCTGTGCTTTTCTATGTGCTTAGCTGATCTGGATCCAGACCCTGACCTGCAGACTTGACTTCCTGTGTTGATTTTGAGCTTGTGTCACCACTATGGACTTGTCTGGCAATTTCTGGACTGCTCACAGACCCTAGTGGACCCATAGTTATGCTATCCTTGCTCAGATACTGTGAAACTGCTCTTCTAACAGGAAGGTAACTGTCCCTGCCGTCCTTGCTGTGATGCTCACCTCATGGCTCACTTTCCTGTATGGAACAGCCACTCCTACTACTTCCTGTGATATATGGCCAGTGTAGCCTATGGAGCAATTGCAAGAACAGTAGTTTAACTGTTACATATGGTAGGAATTATAACATTCTAATAGTCTACCAAAACTAAATTAAGAATATTTTTGTTAGCAATTTGGTGACGTGATCTGTGTCCAACTCTCTAACTGCATAAGCAACTTGTACTATTAGGACGGTACTGCAGTCTGAATAATTGGACATCGGTAAACTACTACATAATTCCACTAAATGTGGAATTAATCTATTCTAATGAAACAATCACAGCACAGATAATAGTTATGATTCTTGTTTAAAGCGTTCTTCGCATTTACTCTTTCTTTTTTAAATTGGATTCCATAATCTAAGGACTGTATTACAAGAGGTTGATGAATCCTTTAGCGTGATGCAAGGACACTGTGGCTCTGTTTTCCTGAAGGCCAGCTAGTAACAAGACTATATAGATAGTCTCCTACATAGAGTACTCTTTACCTTGACTGAGGTGCCTTTTCAAGGTAGAAAGACTCCTATTCTTCTTGGTAATGTCCTTGTCAAATCAGTTCCTGAAGTTAAGGTGCCTCTTTGTCATGAGAAATGAGTGAGGGACCCTATGTCTTTCTCCTCCACTATGTCACAGTTAGGACATTTACTTGAAAGGTGGGACACTTGGTCAGATTCTCTTCCAGCCATGGTGAATTACTTGGCCACCAAACCATTAAGTCATTCTTCTTTTAAAAAGAGGCACGAAATGCCAAGGCTGACAGCTTAGACCGGGTAATAACTAAAACTGCAGTATCAAAGAGAATGAGGCCAGAACCTGGGTTAAACCAAACTTCTAAATAAAGATTAATAGAACTAATATACAGAAGAAAGGCCAGGAAGCAAAGGAGTCTGTGCTACAAAGATGGACCTGAGTGATGATCAAGTTAAAGCTGGAGCGCAGTGAATGGATAAAAACAGGAACTAGAAGTGGGCCAGCAACAGTCAAAGCAAAGAAATAAGGCAGTAGTTCAGCTCCGCATCATGACATGGTGATCAGCAAGAGCAAAATGTGGGTTTGCTTCATCAATTAGCTGATAGGAACAAACTGCCAATCAGTGTAATCCCTACCTTTCTCTGAAGCTGGATTTGGTGTGATTGGTCTACTGTATCCTTTTGTTTCATTAAGAAAAATGGAAAGTACAGTATTTAGACTCTAAATAATCTTCCTGCAGGCCTGGTACCCACAATAAGAATGCTTGCCGAACAGATTCACAAGTGAGGGAAGTGGAAGATTGTTAACTGCAGGATCTTGGGCCAAACCTGCCCAAAGCCAATGCCAAGAGGCTTAGGATCCTCAAAAAAGTTTAAGAAGCTTTAGGAGTTTATGTGTACAATTTAGTTTATCATACTATTTCTGAAAACATCTTATATTTCTTACTCTCTCTGATATTGAAATGATCTTTCCTATCCCCCCCCAAAAAAGTTTTCCATGAATGAGAAACAGAGAGGGGCATCAGGTCCAATACTAGCACAAGAAAAAATACATACATTTGAAAGTCCTCTCCATCTTTACATACATAAATTCAGAGTGATCTATGAAAACCGGAGTACAATGCAATCTGAGCCCTTTAAATGTAAATCCTTTCTCTGAACTAGAAAGATGGTAATTTAATCTTAATCAATTTACATGCTTAGAGAATGCAGCTAGGCTATTAATCATCAAACAAATGTAAAATAATAAATCACTTATTATGAGACTTCTTCCTCTGAGATAAGTAGGTGAGCATGCACGAGTAACAGCTACTTGGGATTGGCATTTTCCTGCATCTCTAGAGCTTTCAAGAGCCCATGAAAAGCTCGGTAAAAATTGGGAGTTCTTGAGAGTTGCTATGGCCACTTTATTGTCTCTCATTTTTCTCATAGTTGCTATAATTGAGTCCCTGGCAGGACTTCTAGGAAATGGAACTATCTTGGCTGTCAGTTCAACTAGCTGGGTGAGGAGTAAAATATTTTCCTCCTATGACATGATTATGATCTTTCTAAGTTTATCTAGGTTCTGTTTGCAGTCCTGGATGATGCTGGATTTGCTGGTTTGTTCTACCCACTTCCTATTGTGTGGAAAATTTGTTTGTAACTTTCAAGACAGTTTTTATGTTCCTGAACTACACCAGCCTCTGATTTGCTGCCTGGCTTAGCGTCCTCTATTGTACCAAGGTTGCCACTTTTACGCAGTCTTTCTTCATCTGGCTGAAGCGAAGAATTTCCAGTCTTCTGCCCTGGATGCTGATAACATCATCTCTTTTTTCCTTTGCAACCTGTCTTCCTTTCTCCTGGGGTATCTACAATGTGCACAAGAACTTCACTATTCCTTTAACAGTGACAAACTCTTCAGAAAGGAGAGCCGCAATGAAAACTAGTTTGTTTTTATTGATTCTTCTCTGTAGTGCTGGTATAGCCTTACCTTTGATGGTGTTTGTTGTTTCAAGTATCCTGCTGATTAGGTCTCTGAGGAGACACATGAGACAAATGCAAAATAATGCAACTGGCTTCAGAAATACCTGCTTAGAGGCCCACGTGGGTACCATTAAGTCAGACTTCTCTTTCCTCATCCTGTATGTTACATATTTTATTGCTTCGGTTCTCATTTTATCCAACACGTTCTTACCTTTCAGCATCTGGGAAGCCATACATGTAGCTTTAATGGCTGCACGTTCTGCAGAACACTCTATGATCTTAATCTGGAGCAACCCCAAAATTTGAGAGCTGCCAGTTAGGATTTTGCACCGAGCAAACTGTCACATGAGACCTAGATCCATGTAAAAGGCCATGGGCTAGCCTGGGCTTTCTAGCTTAGATCCACATGAATTAAATCAAAGTCACTGGAGATATAAAATAATAGAAGCATGAATGAGTAGATTATGGCCCTGATCTGGAATCACAAAGACGCTAAGAATGTAGGGTTTTATTCTATTTTAGTATGATCCTCATAACGAAGATTTCTATGAGTTTTCTTCTGTTTTCAGAGATGATTGCCTGCAGAAGATAAGTACAATACTTCCTGTATTCTTCTTTGGAAATCACCATAGTTTATCTGAGACAGTTAGAAAATCAAGGTCAAGACTCAGACAATAATGTAGCCACTTCAAATAGTTCATGTTCTAGGTTACAAATCAGACTGTCATGATACTAACAGAATGGACATGCTTAAGCACTGGCATGCTTGAATTTTGTATGAAAATATCAATCTTGAAGGCTATTTATTGTTAGTACAGGCATATAATTAGGCTGCTAAGACCCCAAACTTCAGGAATTTCTTCATGATTGCTGTTCAAGTGCTTGGATATATCTGTTAATTCTGGAAGCATCTTTAAGGTCCCAGTGTGATTCAGTAAAGATGAAAAACCTTTTCAGCTTTTTGCTGTTGCTGACCTGGCAATCAGTGTCTGTGTTCCCAAGCAAAAGATGCATCGTTGGCTTTGCAAAGCTCTCCAGAATCCTATGATTAGAGGTAATAGGAAAAAGAATTTCCTTAATGTCAAACTTTCCTGAAGAAGGAATGTTTTTTGTTGATATTTCAGTTTTTACTACAGGTAATAAGTTCCTGAAATTTAGAAGCATGGATTTGCATTGTTTAAATGTTATCAAAATTCATTAAATTACTAAAATATCAAAATTACAATAATCAGCATTATTGAGAAATTATTTCACTGTTTTCCAGGCCAACAACAATGTTTAAATATATGGCTTGAAATTCTCGTTTATAAGTTTCTAGAATTTGGCGTATCTCCACGAAGTGTTTCAATTTTGACACAGTTGTGTCCCGTAATTTTTTCTGGCACAGGAATTCCCTCAGCTTTGGAAATAAATTAGACTCTCCTGGACAAATCACAGATTTCAGCAGAGTTCAAAACTCAGTATATTATTGTTACGTTAGGACTGGAATTTTATTATCCTTTTCAGTTGCAGTGTGGGTTTATATTCTCTTAAGTTGATCATCACTGAAACCTGTTTTTATATATGGTATTTTGGAATATTCAGAAGTCTGCTTGAGCCCTGTGTTGATTAGCACTGGACTAAGTCCTTTCTAGTTTACAATAACTGGCTTCAACATTGTCACAGTCAATTTGTTTGAACCAATTTATGTGTGTTTAATATGAGTTTAGGCTGGAATGTGAATTTTTTTTTAATTTTAAAGTACTAGATTAAAGAATTTTCTATACTGAAGGCTTTCTTTCCCTTATGACATCAACCGTTGGATAAGTGCCAGAAGTGGACTGCAGGCAGATTTTGTATGGCATTTAACAAGAGCTGGTGAAAATCCAGCACATGGCAATTACACCATTTTTAGGGAAGCATCTGTGACAAGCAACGGTTCCCACCTAATCACCATCAAGCACAGATGCTGGGAGGCTATCAGAACAGTGACAAGTCAGGAG